GGGTCAGCAAGGAGGCCCTGGTGGCGGCCCTGGGATCAGGGGTCAATGCAGGGGAAGAGGAAGAGGAGGAAGAACAGGAGGAACAGGAAGAACAGGAAGAGGAAGAGGAAGAAGAAGACCACCTCCTGGAGGAGGCCCCCTTAAGGAAGCAGCTGGAGAGGCTCAGCCCACACCAGGCCGCCCAGCAGAAGGCCGTTGTCGACACCCTCCTACAGTAAGGATGGGATTATTATTATTATTATTATTATTATTATTATTTGAAACACAACAAGATTATTACGCAGCAAGCAGATCACTCTGCTGGCTGTTGTACTGGATCACATGTCGGACACTTCCCAAGTGTCTAGGACTGTGTGATGTATTGGCGAATAATGCATGAGGATCCGAGTAGGGTGGCCTTTTGCAGCTGACGGTGATTTTGGGTTGTTTTTCGGGCTATATGGCCATGTTCTAGAAGCATTCTCTCTTGACATTTCGCCTGCATCTATGGCAAGCTTCCTAAGAGATTGTGAGGTTGTGAGATGGTGATTTTGCCAGCGCCGGTTGTGTTTAAGTGCAGGCCAAGGTCTTTAGGCACGGCACCCAGTGTGCCGATCACCACTGGGACCACCTTGATTGGCTTGTGCCAAAGTCTTTGCAGTTCGATTTTTAAATCCTCATATTGTGTCAGCTTTTCCAGTTGTTTCCCTTCAATCCTGCTGTCGCCTGGGATTGCAACATAGACGATTGTGAGGTCAAGAGTATTGTGCTCCAAAACTCTGTCAGTCTGAATTCAGACGTCCCAGAGTAGTTTGATGTGTTCATTTTCTGTAACTTTTTCAGGCTTGTGATCCCACCAGTTGTAGTCTTTCTGCACAATCTTCTTGCAGCAGCTGAGGATGTGATCTATTGTTTCATCCGCTCCCTTGCAGAGTCTACATTTGAGATCTGCCATTGGCTTTTCAATTCTGGCTTTGATGGCATTGGTTCAAATGGCTTATTTTTGGGGTGCCAGAATCAGGCCCTCCGTCTCCTTTTTCCAAGTTCCATTTGTGAGGCACAGCCATGTTTTTTCTTTGTCAGTTTGGCTCTCAATTTTTCCCAGGAACTGTCCATGGAGAGCCTTCTTTGGCCAGCTTTCTCTTCTGCTCTGCATTGTCTTTTCACTGTATACCCTTTGTCTTTTGCACATCCATCCTTGGGGTCATCCATTTTTGAGGTCATCCATCCTTGGTAACGTCCATGGTGATACATTCTCAAGGTGGTCCTCCTTCAGGATCACCCATCCTTCAGGTCATCCACCTTCGGGGTCATCCATCTTGGTGTCATCCATCCTTGGGGTCATCCATCTTCAGGGTCATCCACCATCCTGGGTGTCATCCATCTTTGGGGTCCTCCATATTTAGCCTCATCCATGGGTCATCCACCTTCGGGGTTTTCCATACTTGGTCTTGTCCATGGGTGATCCATCCTTGGGGCCATCCATCCCTGGTCTCTTGCATGAATCACCCACCCTTGGGGTCATCCACTTTTGGAGTCCTCCATCCTTGGGCTCACCATGGGTCATCCATTCTTGGAGCCATCCACCTTCAGGGTCATCCATCCTTAGGGTCATCCATTCTTGGGGTCACCCACCTTTAGGGTCATCCACCCATGGTCTCTTTCATTAATCACCCATTCTTGGGGTCATCCACTTCTGGGGTCATCCACCTTTGGCATGCTCTATCCTTAGTCTCACCCATGGATCATACATCCTTGGGGTCATCCACCTTCAGGTTCATCTATCTTTGGGATCATCCACCTTCAGGGTCCTCCAGCAAAGGATCGCTGCCTCTTCCAGAAAATTATAAACATTGGAGATAATTTCAGGAGAAAATGGGCATGATAAGAAACAAAGATGGCAAGGTCCTAACAGAAGCTGAAGAGATCAAGAGAAGGTGGTGAGACTATACAGAAGATCTGTATAGGAAGGATAATAATTTTGAGGATAGTTTTGATGGTGTGGTGAGTGAATTAGAACCAGACATCCTGAGGAGTGAGGTTGAATGGGTCTTAAGAAGCATTGCTAACAACAAGGCAGCAGGAGATGACGGGATCCCATCTGAACTGTTAAAAATCCTGAAAGATGATGCTGTCAAGGTGATGCATGCCATATGCCAGCAAATATGGAAAACACAAGAATGACCATCAGACTGGAAAACAATCAACTTATATCCCCCTACCAAAAAAGGGAAATGCTAAAGACTGCTCAAACTTTCATACAGTGGCCCTTATTTCTCATGCCAGTAAGGAAATGCTCAAGACCCTTCAAGGAAGACTCCAGCAAGACATGGAGGGAGAGTTGCCAGATGTACAAGCTGGGTGTAGAAAAGGCAGAGGAACGAGAGACCAAATTGCCAATATCCACTGGATAATGGAGAAAGGCAGGGAATTTCAGAAAAAACATCTATTTCTGTTTTATTGTAATCTAAAGCCTTTGACTGTGTGGATCATAATAAACTGTGGCAAGTTCTTTGTGGTCTGGGCAGACCAAATCACCTTGTCTGTCTCCTGAGGAATCTCTATAAGGACCAAGTAGCAACAGTAAGAACTAACCATGGAACAACAGACTGGTTCAAGATTGGGAAAGGCGTACAGCAGGGTTGTATACTCTCACCCGACCTATTCAATTTGTATGCTGAACACATCATGTGGTGTGCGGGGCTTGATGAATCCAAGGCAGGAGTTAAAATTGCTGGAAGGAACATTAACAACCTTAGATATGTGGATGATACCACTTTGATGGCCGAAAGCGAGGAGCTGAGGAGCCTTCTAACCAAGGTGAAGAAGAAAGGGCAAGAGCTGGGTTGCAGTTAAACATAAAAAAACAAAAAAGCAAGATTCCTTCTTGGGAGGAGAGCAATGACCAATCTGAATAAAACAGTGAAGAGTGGAGACATTACACTGGCAACAAAGATCCACATAGTCAGAGCAATGGTAATTCCCGTAGTAACCTATGGATGTGAGAGCTGGACCATAAGGAAGGCTGAGAGAAGGAAGATAGACACTTTTGAACTGTGGTGTTGGAGGAAAATTCTGAGAGTGCCTTGGACCGCAAGAAGATCCAACCAGTCCATACTTCAGAAAATAAAGCCTGACTGCTCACTGTAGGGAAGGATAGTAGAGGCAAAGATGAAGTACTTTGGCCACATAATGAGAAGACAGGAAAGCTTAGAGAAGACAACGATGCTGGGGGAAATGGAAGGAAAAAGAAAGTGGGGCCGACCAAGGGCAAGATAGATGGATGGTATTCTTGAAGTGACTGGCTTGACTCTGAAGGAGCTGGGGGTGGTGACGGCCGACAGGGAGCTCTGGCGTGGGCTAGTCCGTGAGATCACAAAGATTCAGAAGTGACTGAACGAATAAACAACAACAAGGTCATCCATCCTTGGTCTCACTCATGGGTCATCCATCCTTGTGGCCATCCACCTTCAGGGTTTTCTATTCTTGTTCTCATCCATGGATTATCCATCCTTGGTGTCATATATACTTGGGGTTATCCACCTTCAGGTTTATCCACCTTTGGAGTCATCCATCCTTGGTCTCATCCATGGGTCATCCATCCTTGGGGTCATCCACTTTCAGGGTCATCCTCCTTTGGAATAATCCATTTTGGGGTCATCTATCCTTTGAGTCATCCACCTTCAGTGTAATCCACCTTTGGGTTCATCCATCCCTGGTCTCATCCATGGGCCATCCATGCTTAGGGTCATCCACCTTCAGGGCCATCCATCCTTGAGGTCATCCATCTTCAGGGTTTTCCATCCTTGATCTCATCTATGGGTCCTCCATCCTTGGGGTCATCCACCTTCAGGATCATCCACCTTCTTGGTTGTGCATCCTTGGTCTCACCCATGGGTAGTCCATTCTCAGAGGTGTCCTCCTCCAGGGTCATCCACTTTTGGGGTCCTCCATCCCTGGTGTCATCCATGGGTCATTCATTCTTGGGGTCATCCACCTTCAGGGTCATCCATCTTTGGGGTCATCCATCCTTGGTCTCGTCCATGAGTCAACCACCTTCAGGGTCATCTAGCTTTGGGGTCATCTGCGCGGGCTCTGAGATCTACTGGTGAGGCTCTCCTCTCGGTCCCACCTCTGTCTCAAGCATGGTTGGTGAGGACGAGAGAGAGGGCCTTCTTGATGGTGATCCCCAGCTTTGGAATGCCCTCCCAAGGGAGGTCAGGCTAGTCTACACTCTCCAAGCCTTTACGTACACAATTGAAGACATGGCTTTTTCGACAAGCCTTTGACTATGTTTAGAAACCCTTAATGAAGATATTCGAGAACCTAGAGTTTATTTCACCGTGCACTTTATGACTTATATTGATTGTTTTACATCTACAGGTATTGCTGCATTTTATTGATCTCAACCTGGGGGAGTTTATGATGTTTATTTATTTACTTACTTACTTACTTACTTACTTTATTTATATACCGCTTTTCTCAGCCCTCAGGCGACTCAAGGCGGTGAACTACATCAATACAAAGCATCACAAACAAGTATAGGGCAATTAAAAATAATTGTAACATAAATCATTAAACATCCGTATAACAATCATTTTTGGGGTTTATGTTGGTTCTTATTGCTTTTGTGTGATTGTCTTTACACCTTTTTTATTTTGTGTGTTTGCACCTTGAGTGCTTTGTGAGCCGCCCCGAGTCCCTCCGGGAGATGGTGGCAGGGTATTAATAAAGATTATTATTATTATTATTATTATTATTATTATTATTATTATCCACCTTCGGGGTCATCCATCCCTGGTCTCATCCATGGGCCATCCATCCTTGGGGTCATTCACCTTCAGGGTCATCAACTTTAGGGTTGTCTACATTCATGTCCTTTTGGCATCATCCATCCTTGGTCTCGACCATGGGTCGCCCACCTTTGGGGTCACCTGTGGCTTGTCCATTGTGAGATTTGCCCCCTTTTGGGGGGTCATCCATCCTCAGAACCATTCCTCCTTCATAGGATTTGTTCTGTGTTCCTCTCTTCCCTCCTCAGAGAGGACCCCTGGCGGGTGGCCAAGATGGTGAAGTCCTATTTGCAGCAGCATAACATCCCTCAGCGGGAGGTGGTGGACACCACGGGCCTAAACCAGTCTCACCTCTCGCAGCACCTCAACAAAGGCACCCCTATGAAGACCCAGAAGCGCGCTGCCCTCTACGCCTGGTACGTCCGGAAGCAGCAGGAAGTCGCCCAACGTGAGTACAGCCCCTTGTCCCCTTCTGCTATTTGGAGAGAATGGGTGACCCTAACTGGGTGACCTCTGCTCCCGGCCTCCTTCCCCCAGAGTTCACACACGCCGCCCAAGACCTGGCCACAGATGAGGAGGCTGCGGGGGAGGAGCTCCCGGCCAAGAAGGGCCGCAGGAACCGCTTCAAGTGGGGGCCCGCCTCCCAGCAGATCCTCTTCCAGGCCTACGAGAGGCAGAAGAACCCCAGCAAGGAGGAACGCGAAGCCCTGGTGGACGAGTGCAACAGGTGAGTGCGGAAGTGGGGGCATTAATCTTTGGGGTCGTCTGTCTTCAGATATGTCCATCTTGGGAGACTGCTACTGGGGTCAACACTTGGGGTCATCCACCCTTTGGATCACCTTCCATCAGGGTCGTCCAGCCTTCTGATGGGCCACTTTCACTGCTGACTTCTTTTTGAGGCCATCCACCTTCGGGGTCATCCAACATGAGATCACCCATCTTTGGGGTTATCCACTCTTCGGGTCCACCCCCAGGGTTGACCTTTGGGATAATCCAGCTGGAAGGTCATCCACTTTTGGGGGGTGGGACTTCCTCTCGGGGTCATCCACCTCTGAGATCCTCCTTTTGGGTTGCCCTTTTTTGGGTCCACAACCTTCTGGCCATCAACCTTCAGAGTTGTCCACCCTCAAGGTCCTCCTTTGTGATTGTCCATCTTTAGAGGTCTCCACTCTTGGGGATTTCTGTATTTTGGATTGTCCATTTTTAGAGTTGTCCACCCTTGGGGTCTTTCACTTCCAAGGTCCTCCTTTGGGTCCACCACCTTCAGGCTTTCCATACTTAGAGTTGTCCATCCTTGGTGTCCTTCTTTGGGGTTGTCCGTCTTTAGAGTTGTCCACCCTTGGGGTTGTTCATCTCTGGGGCCTTCCACTTCTGGGGTACTCCTCCTTTGGGGTGGTCCTTTTTTGGATCAGTCACTTTCAGGCCATCCACCTTCAGAGTTGTCCATCCTTGGGGGCCTCCTGTGGGATCATTGATCTTTAGAGTTGTCCACCCTTGGGGACATCCATCTTTGCGGTCTTCCACTCCCAGGCTCCTTTGTTGGGTCGACCACCTTTAGGCTGGCCATCTTTAGAGTTGTCCAACCTTGGGGTTGTCCATCTTTGGTGTCTTCCAGGTGGTGGACCTCCTTTGGGTCCACCACCTTCAGGCCGTCCATCCTTAAGTTGTCCATCTTTGGGGTCCTTTGAGGTCATCTATCTTTAGAGGTTTCTGTCTTTGGGGTCTTTCACCTCTAGGGTCCTCTTTTGGGGTTATTTGTTCTTTGAGGTCTCCATCCTTGGGGTCGTCCATCTTTAGAGCTGTCCAACCTTGGGGTCATCCATTCTTGGCGCCATCCATCTTTAGGATCTTCCACCTCCAGGGTTCTCCTTTGAGGTCCTCCTCCTTTGAATAATTCATCTTTAGAGTTGTCCAGTCTTGAGGTTGTCCACCTTCAGAGTTGTCCACCCTTGTGGTTGTCAGTCTTTGGGGTCTTCCCCTTCTTGGGTCCTCCCTCCTTTGGGGTCTTCTACCTCCGGGGTCCTCCTTTGGAGCATCCATTTTTAGAGGTCTCCATCCTTGGGGTCATCCTTCTTTGTTATATTCTGTCTTTAGAGTTCTCCACCCTTGGGGCCACCTATCTCTGGGGTCTTTCCCTTCCGGGGTCCTTTCCACTTTGGGGTAATCCATCTTCAGGGTCTTCCCTCCTCCTCCCCCCTCTCTCTCCTGACCGACCCCTGGCCTTTCCTGGCAGAGCAGAGTGCCTCCAGCGGGGAGTCTCCCCGTCCCAGGCCCAAGGGCTGGGCTCCAACCTGGTGACGGAGGTCCGGGTCTACAATTGGTTCGCCAACCGAAGGAAAGAGGAGGCCTTCCGGCACAAGCTCGCCCTGGATGGCTATGGAGGGCCGCAGGCGGGGCCCACCTCCCACTTGACCTCTGGCGATGGGCCCCCGCTCTCCCCAAGCAAAGTCCACGGTAAGCCCCGCCCCACCCCACCCCCAATCCACTAATGAGGTTCTGAAGGGCCTTCCTTCCCAGGATGGACTCACCAGACGGAGCCTTGTATTGTCTGTGTTTCTAGAACAACAACATCAACAGAACGTCCCATTCGCCGACCCAGGCCTGAGGTACCACCCGCAGCCTGTTGTTGTCAGTGAGACCGACTCCTTGTCCTCCAACCCTCAAGCAGGGAATGGTGCTACCGTGGACGCCCACACTGCCATCCACCAGGTCTCTTCCCCCTCCGGTCTCTGCTCACCCACTTCTGGGTCAGCCCCCGAGGTCAAGATGGTGAGTCAGATCAGGGAGGAAGTAGATCCGACCCCTCTGACACGGCCGTAGTTCTAACCCTAACCCAACATTGACCATAACTCTAAACCAATAGCTCTAACCCAAACCCAATCTAAGCCAGATTTAAGCTACTTCTTTCTCTTACCTGACTCTGAACTGAACTCTAACCCTAATCCAGCCCTAACCCATCTCTAACCCACCTTTATCTGTGACCATAACCCTAGTCCACCTCTAACCCCAAGACAAACACACATTCTACCATCAACCCACTTATAGGTCTAACTCCAATCCAACTCTATCTTTACTTCTAACCCTGATTCTGCCTCTAATCCTAACCCACCTCCAGCCCTCACTCTAACTCCAACTCACTTCTAGCACTAGCCCAACTGTAACCCTAAACATCTCACCCTAATCCAACCCACTTCTAGCTCTAACCCAACTCTGACCATTGCCCTTCTGCTTTTCCCACCCTGTAGATCTCGGTGCCCGGAGGTCCCCTCCCCCCGGTGAGCACGCTGACTGCCCTGCACGGCCTGGAGCCCAGAGCCCTCAGTCCACAGACTCAAAACCTCATCATGGCCTCCCTTTCGGGGGTCATGGCCATTGGCACCAGCGACCCCTCCTCCTTTGCCAATGCTGGGGGCTCCACACTTGTCATTGGTGAGTCCAGAAGTCCAAGGGCACAAGGAGAGACTGGCTTCCTGTCTCTCTAATGGTTTTATTTGTCGTGTCAGGGCAACCAGTCAATTGTATTACATTTCTAACAGAACAAAACAAACAAACAGACAAAACACAAAATTTGCAAGTTTGGTAGTTGATTAAATGTCCTTTGACCAGTATCTGGCCACTTGGAGTGCTTCTGGTGTTGCTGCAAGAAGGTCCTCCATTGTGCATGTGGCGGGGCTCAGGTTGCATTGCAGCAGGTGATCAGTGGTTTGCTCTTCTCCACACTCGCATGTCATGGATTCAACTTTGTGGCCCCATTTCTTGAGGTTGGCTCTGCATCTCGTGGTGCCAGAGCGGTCTGTTCAGCGCCTTCCAAGTTGCCCAGTCTTCTGTGTGCCCAGGGGGGAGTCTCTCATTTGGTATCAGCCATTGGTTGAGGTTCTGGGTTTGAGCCTGCCACTTTTGGACTCTGGCTTGCTGAGGTGTTCCAGCGAGTGTCTCTGTAGATCTTAGAAAACTATTTCTAGATTTAAGTTGTTGACGTGCTGGCTGATACCCAAACAGGATGAACTGGAGATGTCTCTGCCTTCGTCCTTTCACTATTGGCTGCTACTTCCCTGCAGATGTCAGGTGGTGCAATACCAGCTAATCAGTGTAATTTCTCCTGTGGCGTAGGGCGCAGACACCCCGTGATAATGCGGCATGTCTCATTAAGAGCCACATCCACTGTTTTAGTGT